TCAATTTCTAATCTACCGTCACGCATTAGTTTTCTCGGAAACTTGTAACGGGTCGTTGTGACGTCATTTTCCTGAATATTGAGTTTCAAGCGTACGCCAGGGCCGTTAGAAATTATTAAAAAAAAAAAAAAAGAAAAAATTTAAAAAGGATAATAGAAGCGGGGAATAAAACATGCGAATAAAACATGTGAAGTCTCCTTACCTTTTTCCGTTGCCACTTTGTTGCCAACGGTCGTTTTAAGGCTGTTTTGGCGACTTGCTTTGTAACCCGTGCGGTGTCACCAGTCAACTGTATAATAGTAAAAATTATAAAAAAAATTAAGAAAAAATTAAAGAGGAAAATGAAAGCGAGGAATATATCGTATGAAGTCTTCTTTCCTTTATCCCGTTGCTTCTTTGTTGTTTACGGTCCTTTAACGCTGTTTTGGCGGCCTTCTTTGTAACGCATGTGGTGCTACCGGTCAACTATGTATAAAAAACTCAAAGGCTGGAAACTTCAACCGGTCCCGAACACCAACCGTCGCCACTCGAAGGCCGATAAATTCCAGAAAAGTCGACCGATCTCCCTCAAATTTCCTCCCGCGAGAGCGCTTAGCTGTAGCCTACCCGTTCCAGGGGCAAAATTTTCCAAATTCCGCGGCATCGATCCGAGAGCCGCTCCGTTTTACCACCCATTCTGGCAAAATCGCTTTGTAGGTACGCGTAATCCTCTTGCCCTTGCTACGGGATTCAAATATAAAAGCTTGGCGACCGCGTCTATCGAATAAATGACAATCTCCCAGGGGAGGGTCGTCACCTTTGTCCTCTCGCAAAACAACACCGTCCAGGTGTTGGTGCGTCCAGCATTTGCTAGCTCTAACATCCTTGCGCTTGACATGCTTGCTTCGTCCCAGATTATAATAACTACTTGCCGAAGCCTCTCCCTAACTCTTCTATCACTAATGGAACGAACTATAAGATTTTCTGATGGCATATCTGCAGCGCCGAGACCATAATACGAATGAGCAGTCGATGCGTCACCTCGCCTATAGACAAGGTACACCACTAGAACATACCAATGCCACCTTTCCTCTTTGCTTGCAATCTTCGCGGATTGAATTGACCACCCATGATTTCCCCGTGCCGGCTTGGCCAGTAATGAGTACATTATGGCCATTCCTGGCAACCTCAAATATTTCTGCTTGTTCTTCAGTGAAGCTCACTGCCATCCTAACTATGCTGTATCCCTTGTGGTGTGAAAAGTTTCCAAGTTATCAAGAACCAGGTAGGTATTTGTACAGCAATCGGAAGAAATACTAATTTTGAACTATATATGCCTCAGAATTAAACACGCAAACTAGAAGAAATCTTTTACAACCGAACTCGCATGAACGGAACTTAGATAAACTAGCGAAAAAACTGTTTACCAAGCGATTTTGCCAGAATGGGTGGTAAAACGGAGTGGCTCTCGGATCGATGCCGTGGAATTTGGAAATTTTGCTGCTGGAACGGGTAGGCTATAGCTAAGCGCTCTCGCGGGTGGAAATTCGAGGGAGATCGGTCAACTTTTCTGGAATTTATCGGCCTTCGAGTGGCGACGGCTGGTGTTTGGGACCGGTTGAAGTTTCCTGCCTTGGAGTTTTTTATACATAGTTGACCTGTAGCACCACACGCGTTGCAAAGAAGATCGCCAAAACAGCATTAAAGGACCGGAAACAACAAAGAACCAACGGAATAAAGGAAAGGAGACTTCATCCGATATATTCCTCGCTTTTATTTTCCTCTTTAAGTTTCTTAACTTTTTTTATAATTTTTTCTATTATACAGTTGACTGGTGACACCGCACGCGTTACAAAGCAAGTCGCCAAAACAGCGTTAAAACGACCGTTGGCTACAAAGTGGCCACGAAAAAAAGGTAAGGAGACTTCACATGTTTGATTCCCCGCTTTTAATATCCTTTGAAATTTTTTCTTATTTTTTTTTTAATGATTTTTTGCAGCGAAGGGGACTGGGTCCCCTTCTCTGCTATGTCATGGGCTTCAATGAAAGGTAGTAACCACTTTTCGGGTCTAACTTCGGCTTTCCGAGCGGCTTACGAGCAAAGCAGTTTAAAAGTCGGGCAAATTTCGGCCTACGATCGGCATACGAGCTTAAAAGTCGGAGCTTTTAACCTTTTAAGCTATTTAAAGCTATTTAAATAGCTTTTAAGCTATTTAAAAATAAAGTTATACGTACATACATACAAAGTTATACATACATACATCTTAATCAACGAGCGCTCTATCAATAATGCTACATTTTGATTGGCTATGCTACTTGCTATTTGTTCCGCGATAGATTGTCGGGAAATTGAAGTAGGCTAACATTGTGTGGTTGTAAACAAAACGATAAAAAAACATGCTTTGATGTCACATGTAGGTTATGAATAACTTTGAGATTTATTCTAACAATACTAGATCATTCACTCTCGATTTCTCGACCTCTTTATCTGATTGTAAAGTAGTTATAGGAGGAGTTGACGAGCCGAAGATTGAGACAAGTTAGGTTTAAAAATAATTCACGTTTCATTGCTCTGTTCTCGAAACTAACAGCAGAAACTGACAAGTTATTCCAAATTTGTGATTCAATTATATTCATGATGTAAAAGTCTGCTGACGCAGTCATGTAACAATGTTAATCTAAGAATCGTAATGACTCGGTACAATATTGTCTCCGAAGCATCAAAATCGAAGCAGAATTGAGATGCCATTAAACCATAGAAATCTCTTGCTTTCCGAGATGAAGTATTTTTATATCAAAAGTTGTAACCGCCTCCTGGTTAGCTCAATAGATAGAGAGCTGGACTGTTGTGCTGGAGGTCGAGGGTTCGAGCCCCGGCCCGACCAACACTCAAGGTCTTAAAGTAACTGAGCAGAATATGCTTCCTTTCTGTAACATCAAGATATGGTTAGATATTCTAGTCTTCTCGGATAGGGACGAATAAATGGAGGTCCTGTCTCCTGCAGGGTTAGGGGTAGGAGACGTTAATTTTTAACGCACGAGTATACTGGG